AAATGTGTTTGATTTCTCCCTGAAGATAAATATTTATTTTGCTTGCTTATTGTTTTCTTGTTTTCCTCTAGGTTTATTATGACGAAAATGACAGCTCTGGCTACTCAAAATATGGGCGGTTTTGTCAGGAAATCAAAATGAACTATTCTCCATATGTGAATTACTTCACACGAGTATACTGGAATAGGTCTTATTTGGTATATAAAATCAATTCTATAATATCTTTTCAGTCCTGAGATATTTGCATCTTTTGAAGATGGACTCTGCATATTTTTTTTAAAAGGCTAAGGTTTCCAATAAACCTTTTTTTATTGCATATAAATTGCAGATGCACACAATAGCACATCACTGACTACATGAAAACTGCATAGTGTATCCTGCATGACTATTACAGACTAATTGACACAACAAGAGAGATATTTCCAGAACTATAGAGGATACAACTGTCTTCCAAGAATTAAAAGGCATCTTTTCAGCTTTTCAATTTTAACACCAGTTTGGTTTCAATTTCATAGCAATTACCTTTTCAGCTATGTTTATTTTGGCATAAATACAAAAAAAAGGATAAGAGAATTTGCTGGACATTATTCTCCAGATATATATATGTATGATATATATATGTGTGTGTGTGTGTGTGTGTACACACACACACATATACATATATGTATGTATATGTTTGGGAGTGGGGTGGATGGGGAATGTTCTGCTATTTTCATAGTTTGGAAATCCCACTATATTTCTGAAATTTGTTACGATGGAAAAGGTAGAGAGACGAATGACTGAGGATGATAGACTGAGGAATAAGGCTGTGCAGACTAAGTTGTTGGCTGAGAGCAATTTTCTAATTGGGGCTACATTTTTATTATTATTTTTAATAGAGCATTATTATACTCTATGTTTGGTGAAAGGTTTGGTTTAGGTACCCAGTCAATAATAGTATTTTAAATAAGTTGAATTAAACAAAGATTTCCTTTCAGATTTGTAAATCATATATTTTAGGCACTCTTATGTTCTATCTAAAAAGGTAATGAACCAACATAAAATTTAGCCATTTAATAAGGAAAGGTTGAAGGTTCATATTCTAGAAGCTTAGCTTCAACTACTTGATACTTTGTGGGATTATTCTGTTCGTTGTTTATGTTTTTGTGTAATTATTGGCATTTATCATTTTGTCCTAGTCATTATTGGGACAAATTATTGTGGCTTAATAAGAGTATTCCACTCATGTGCTCTCCTATTCATTGGTTTTATAATATGCCCAGGATAAGTTTGGATTTGTAAGCCAAAATGAAAGATCAGATTTTGTTTATGAATCCTGATGTATTTTGGTAGCTACAGTTAAATTTTATTTATTCATGATTTCTTCATCCATTTGAATGGTGGAGCAAGCAAACCATATTTACATACTCATTTTTTTAAAATTAAAGTTGGATTTCTGGCTTGACCGAATGTAGCTATTGTCTGGCTAAAATATTTCTGCAAAATGAAGTCTAAATGACACTACTGACCAAGTTAATAATGTAAATTGGTTTACTTTCATAAAGTAAAAGTTTTTATATTTTAGTACAACTTTATTCTTCACAGCTTTTTTTATTGTTAAACTTTCTTTTCTACTTTTTTCTCTGATTTTTTTCCTGTTTTTAATCTCATGATCTTGAATTAAAAAGTTAAGTGTATGCCCTGAAAATGTTCCTAGTGTACTTGTTGAAAAAGTATTTTATTCTGAAATGTATTTTTTCTGACTTTAATATTACACAATACTTGACAAAGTAGTCAGAGAGGAAAAATGTGAACATTTTATCATTGTCTTGTTGTATGGCATTTTAGGGAAGCTAATCAATGCTGCCTTTTATTGTACAAGTCAAAGCTACCTGAACATAAGATTTTGAAAATGTAATTGTTTTATTTTACATTTAATTGAGCTTGGAGATCTCCTGCCAGGGATATCCATACTAGATGCTGAAAAAGCCAAGATGGTACCCACATCCATGTACTCAAGGCTCTGTCCATTTTTATATATATGTGCATTAGTGCATGTAAAAAAGGGTAGGGTTTTAGTCTCATAGTTAGGATGCCATTTTGATGTTTTTGGCCCTTTCTTCAGCCTGCCTGCCTGCTGCCATAAAAAAAATCACTCCAAATCAGCTGGATGTGAGAGCAATCTAGCTGTGACATCTCTGACCCCATTGATTGCCATGGCTGATTTGCCTGATCTGACTGGCTAGGTAGTGTCCCCTTCCTCCTTCACTGTGACATGTGCATCTCTTCCAAATCTGTGCGCTCCAGGGAAGAGGACAACCTCAGGAGTGTACCAGTCTTCTGTGTAATCCAAATCACTTCACAGAACCTGTTGTAGGGACTAAATCTGAAATGCATTGATTTTTGAAATGTAATTTTCTTTAATATTACAGTCATTTATTTCTGTACAAGTTTATGTCTCTATGCTTCTATGTTGTAGCAGTAAGTTAATGAAAGATACATTTGCTTTGAATAATTTCTAAAGGAAATTAACTTTGCAGTACTACTGCTAACTGTGTTGTGACATTTGAGGGAGAGATGAGAAATGGTGCTTTTAAATGCTCTGCTCATTGGTATTAAGCTATTTCCTTTTATTTTTATTTAGCTTCTGAAGCCTATTGAAATGTATACAGATAGAAACTAATAGCATTTCATTCGGTGGTTTTGAATTTTGAACACAAATTCCAATTCTCTGGATTGGACTTTCATGAATCCCAGTCCTTCCAACCAGTGCAGTTAAAATTCCACAATCCTAAAATGAATTCCTTTTAAATACTATTCCCAGCGCTGATTATTGTAAACATTTAGAGAATAGTAACACATTTATATTACAAAATTTTACAGTTCTGTATATTCTCCAAAAACAGTTCTGAGCATGAGCAAGAAACATGTAATCTCTCTCTTGAGTTTCAGTGTGTCTTATAATTTAAATACTGGGGGTCTTTCCATACTGGTTATGCTTGAACTGAACAAAAAGACTGTCTCAGTCTTCCATATTCCTTGTTGTGAATATTAACCTATAACACCCATCATGTGTTAATTGAGGCTTTCATATTGTGTTTTTTAAGATAATGAACCAGTGTTACAAGCCCTAGTTGTTTCAATAACATATCCTGTTCCCTCCTAACAGAAAAATACCATACAGGTAGTCCTCGACTTACTGACTGCCATTGAGCTCCAAATTTCTGTTGTGAGTGTTGCAACGTTTTATGAAATTTCTGTTGTGAGTGTTGCAACGTTTTATGACTCCTCACCATGATTGCTACATGAAACACTGCAGTTGTTAAATTAGTAATACAGTTGTTAAGTGAACCTGGCTTCCGCATTGATTTTGTGGCAAAAAGTGATCACGTGACACCAGAACATTGTAACTGTTATGAGTCAGTTGCCGAACATCTGAACTTTGATAGTGTGACCATGGAGATGCTGTCACAGTCGTAAGTGTAAAAAACTATCATAAGTCACTTTTATCAGTGAATTGTCAGTAACTTTGAACAATCACTAAATGAGGTGTAAGTCAAGAACTAGTTATAGTGATTGATTTTGGCAAAATATACTACAAGCACAATTGAAGCTCAGTTTTATTCCAAGCACATTCACATCTCCTTCGGTACATTCTCCTCTGAAACAAATGTGAATTTAAATATGCATATTTAATATTGTATCCTTTGACACAGGCACACACATATTGGTACATGTAAATGCAAGTGTAAAACTGGGTTTGTTAATTCTCAAGCACCTGAACCACTGTAGCATACAGTGAGCAAATACAAACCAGAGGTTAATTTCCTTCCATTTACTAGAAGAAAGCAGCATGAGAAGTGAAGCCATCTTAGACTTCTGCAGTTTATTAAACCCAGTTACCCACCTAAGTCAACAAGCACTATGATTAGCATGACTGAGGCAGGAATCTCCATTTTAAATATCAACATGAAATTTATTTAGATAAAAGTCTCCTGCTGAACTCAGAAACATATCTATTTGATTTTGCTCATAGTATTATTGAAGTGGATTGCCATTACCTTCTTTCTATTTCAGAGTCTCAGCCCATATGGAGAAATCCAATCTAAGCTGTGCAACAACCATATCCAAACTGCTCACAAACTAAATCTGATGGGGGATCACCACCTGTAGAATCTTCAAGCTTTTAGGAATGTTTTAATTATTATTTTTTTGTAAGTCGCCTAGAGTCACTGAGAGTGACTGCCAAATTCTCAAAATTAGTATTCTCAACCTTGGGAACTTTTAAGGCATGTAGACTTCAATTCCCAGAATTCCCCAGCCAGCATGGCTGACTGGGGAATTCTGGGAGTTGAAGTCTACATGCCTAAAGTTCCCAAGGTTGAGAAAGACTGCTCTAAATAAAATAAAATACACCATGGGTTATTGACTATAGGTATTGTTTACAATTGCCCAACAGTAAGCCTTAAATCATAGCTAACAAAGCTGAGTGGTAATCAGCCAACCTCACTTGAGGTATGAAACAGCCACAATAACTCACTTAGCAAAGAGCTAGAAAAGCCGATTACCTAACGCTGTATGCTCGCAACAAATAGTTTACTAAACATAGGAGATAATCATAATTTAGCCTAGAGTGGGGGCTAATCCAGTCTAAGTCACAGAAGTTTGCAAAAAGCATTTGCAAAAGAAGAATTTCATGTATTTCATAACCATGTTTATACTTATACCTGTTATCTAATACTTGCTTGACAAATAAATAAAGAAAAAAAAATATCCCGATAGATCAGGTCTCTGTACTCATACTCAACACCTTTCGAATTTACCTCGGGATCACCGTGCGCAAAAAGCGCAAGTTACGCTCTTTGCCGAACGAGAAGGAAGGAGGCCCATGACGAAACGCATCGTTCGGCGCTCCGATTCTGATTGGTCAGAATCGAGCAACGGAGGCGGACCAAAAGCTACCGCGGCTGTCTATTCCCCTATCGGAGGCTCGGAAGGTTCGCAGGGGTGCGGGGGGGAGGGGGCGGGAGAGGGAAGGTGTCGTCCATTTTGGTTGATTGTAGGCAGGGCGCCCGCAGGTGGTGGCCCTCATCTGCGAGAGGATCGAGGTGCAGAAAAGGTGAGGGGGGGGGGGAAGTGACTTTTCTCAACTGTTTTGTATGGGTGAGTAGGCGAACTAGATGCATAACAAGGCAGTTGCTTTCACATAAACAAAGAGAACCAGGAGCAATCACGGTCTTCAGGTGGGGCAGGCCGTGGCTCTGAAAAGACGGGGCATTTCGTGTATTTCAGTGAATGTTTTTCACACTTGGCCAGGTTAGGTCCAGGTGTTTGGACTTCAATTCCCAGAATTCCCATGCCTGGCTTTTTCTTTTGGTGCAACCGTGAACAAAGATCCAATTGAACACATAAGAGTAAATTTAAGCATTTCAGCACTCCGGAAGACGGAATTGATACGCTGTGTTCAAATGATAGAAAAATTCAATAATATAAATTATACAGAGATATATAAAAGTGATTGTAACATACATAACATAAATATTAAAGCGAGTGCAGATAAGACCTTTTCCTATTTCTTTAGTCTAGGCTATCCCTAAAACAGATTCCCTTTTTGATTCAATTGTTACTTGGAAATGCCCCCTTTTCCTCAAAATTCCACTTCAGGAGGAGAATATTGGTAGTTCTGTCTCTTCTGCACCTTGGCACATCTTATTTTCTTCTGAAATTCTGCTTCCAGGCTCACAAAATAGCCTTATTTTTGGTTGGGTCAAATCTGGGTTTTGCTTAGGAGAAAATATATATTGGGTATTCTATAGCTGAAGTGTCTGGCAAAGAAAACTGGCAAAGTATTTGAAATAAAATCAATCCCATTTTACACAAAACTGAAAGGAATAGAGCTTAATATTGCAAATATATTTGGAGAATGAGAAATTGGAATATCTGATTTTGGAAAAATGATGGATCCAGATTTTAAGAAATGTAAAATATACTTCTAATCATCTAGGGAAGGTCAGTTTAATATAATTGTTAAGGCATCAGGTTAGAAATTAGAACTCTGAGTTCTAATCTCACCTTAGCTATGAAGCCAACTGAGTAACCTTGGACCATACAATCTCAGTCCTTGGAAGAACATAATGGCAAGCCATTTCTGAAAACCTTATTATAAAAATTGCAGGGGCTAATTCAGGCAGTTGCCAGAGTGAACACAGATTCAGCACTCAAACATAAATCTAGGAATGAAGTTAATTCATTATAATTAGTGATTATTGGACTCCTTAAATAATGTTTTTAACAATTGGATATCAGATGCACTGTGTTAATGTTACAGCTTTCTTATGATTTGGTCATGTCCGTGGCCTTTTTTTGGCTTCAAATAATTATATATGTTAACATAACTTGGTGAAAATATAGCAGTTTGTGTATGTACATGTATGGATTCAAGAGATGTTCTCTATCAATTTTTAAAAATATCTTTAGTAAAATGAAAATATGGGACAATATGGGCTAGATTTATAATATATGATTAAGCTTGTTTAATATTAATATTACATGGATCTTTTTTTTCTTTCAGTTCACTTTAATCACTATTATGAATTTGTTTTTTGATTGGGTACTGTCTATTCTATTTTTTTCTTGTGTTAATTTTTAACTTTCACCACCACCACCACCCCCCAAAAATGGGGGAAAAAGATTCCCAAAGGAAGCTTCAGTCTTATGAAAGCTGAGCCATGGTTCTATTCATTATGAAAATTCTGACTTGTAAATTTGATGAAAAGTTTCTCTAGATAGGAGATCCCAATTTGTTATATTTGGACTGTGAAATCAAGTCTAGATGAAAAGACCTGCAATTAAACTTTTAGATCTCATAAAGCAATTGTGTTCTGATATGATCCATGTTGCTTCTAAATCAGGGTGCTGACCCAAAGGATTGTTCAAAGGAATTCAAGAAAGGAAGATGAGCGTAGAAGCTGTTGATCGGGAGGCAGCCACATCGAGCCGACCATGCACCCCACCACAGACTTCCTGGTTTGAGTTCCTGCTAGAAGAGTCTCTGCTGGAGAAACACCTGAAAAAGGCTTCTCCTGGTAAATAATGCTGTTGTTCAAAGCTAAAACTTTTATTTTCGTAAATTATTGCAGAGGATAGAGGAATGTGGTAACATTTTCTATTTTCTAGAATTTTTTTTTTTAAAACAAGTTTTATTAATTTCAAAAACAAACAAATCATCATCAACCATTACATATTTAAACCTTTTTCCATTATAAATTTTACAAGTCAGATAAAACCTTATCTTATACAATACAATTCTATTTTAAACCATTTCTAAATGAACATAAAAACATCTCTTGTCCTCTATTTCTTTCTGACTTGATTATCGTCATTTTATTTCTATGCTTCTAAAAGGTTTCACCAATACTTCTCAAAAACATAAACATACACAAACAAACATATAAAAAAATCTTTTAGTAAAGTAACTTGGCCCCCGGTACCTCTCTTTATATGGGCTTTAATTATATTCATGCTCATCTTACAGATCATTACCTATTTTATTTACCATTCTGTATCTTCTATATATACTTCTCCACACATTTCACTCTTCATAATTCTATCTTATTCAATCCATCTTAATTTAAATCATTATATTTGTATCTTTTGCCCATCCTTTATTATCACTCTATCTCATTCCTTATACTAAAAAAAAAAAGAATTTCTCCTGAAATCTCTAATCAGAGTATGATGCCTTTCTATCCTCTCCCTAAATATTAGATTAACATTTAAAATGACACCTAATATCCAATCTGATTCTGCTTGGTACATTCTATCTATTAATTTTTACTTTTAATAACAATAAAAACAGAGTAATAAATCGGAAATGTTTAAATACATAGTATCCTCCTAAATACGTAGTTAAATAATAAATCTAAATAATAAATCTTATAACATTCTCATTGCCTTTCCCTTCAATATTTTATTACATTTTAAAAATCAATCATTATTAAACATTTCAACATTTTAACTTCTTATTAACTCTTAAACCATTCTAATTTTCTATTTCTAATACAAATATTACAATACCGTCTTATGTACCTTGCAAAATCTTTTTTAAGAAAATTTATACTTTACCCTTTATCCCTGAAAAAGATTCCTCTTTTCCCATCCAATTTTAAAACTTTGTGGCTTTTCTCCGCCTTTCCCCTTTCTTTCTTCCCCCACCCGATCTTCCTACCCCACCTTCTTCTAACCTCTGTCTTGCTGGCATCCCTTCTCTGTTGTATTCCCTTTTTCTTTTGTTTGCTATCATTATATTTATTTTGCATCATATTTTTCTCTTTCTTAAATGTTTTTTTAGATCTTAAGTCCTTCATTTTCCTCGCTTTCTTCCTTCCTTCTTCCTTAGGTAAATTTTGGGATTCATTAAAGATGGTGTCTTCGTCTTCCTCTTGTTGTAGTTCCATCTGTCGCATTGTCTGTTCATAGTTAACCAGCGCCATTTCTAAAAATAGAAAAGCTTTTCCCATACCATCTTTACAGGCTGCTTTTGTTTGCTCATATTCATCCCTCAGTTCCTCAAGGGAGAAAGCCATTATAAATCTTTTCTTTTCTTTTTTCCCTCTTTCTTCTTACTCCAACCAAAATATTCCAAAAGAAAAGTAAGACAATCCCAAAGTCCACAATCCTCAATCAATCCAAGCCAAGCCAAAATTCCCACTTTCTCTTCCAGGGGTAGTATCAGACAAAGGAAAAAAGAAAATCCAAATCTGTGCTTTAAAGCCTTATTAAAAAAAAAATTCTGTCTCCAAATCCTTAAGGCATCTCCTCCAACAAAATCCAGCCAGATAAATATATTTTTTGTCCTCTCCCTTCCGACTTATCCCATAAAGCTAGTTTTACCTGAAAAAAAAACAGGTTTCTCAATATCCGTTTGTTAATTCCGTCGGGAGGGAGAGTAAACTTTCCTTTCAGCACCTCAGAATTGCCGCTTACTTTCTCTTATGGAAAGAATCATCCAAAAAACCATCACTTCCAGGAATTAAATTAAATATATCTCAGAGTCCTGGATCGACCAAGAAGACTTTCACTTTTAAAAACTTTCTCCTCTTCCTCCTGCGCATACTTGCCCAGCTGCCGGCTTCTTTGTGGCGGCCATTACAGACCGCCGCTACGCCGTCTTGGTAAAAGGAGGTTCTGCCGGCCAGGGAGGGGGTCTGCAATACCCCCAAACCCTTTTCCGGATCCCCCCTACCTTCAGCTGCCCCTGCAGGGCAGCCTTGCTCCGCACCCTTTCGGATCAGAGCCCCAAAAGCGGCTAGCGCGGCAGGGATCGCGCAGCTTCGCAAATCCCTACCGCTCGCAAAGCCGACAAACCGGAAACCCCTATTTTCTAGGATTTTTACTACATTTTGTAGGATTCTTTTATCCCATAATGAAGTAAAAGCAGTAGTAGGTATTTGCTGATTCTTACTTGCACTGCACTTAAATCTTCAAGGTCCACATCACATAATGTATGTGGGTTTTTTATGTGTGCATAAAAATATAGTTGTTTGAATATGACAGTGATATAGCTCTGACAGTAAAACCAGTGGCATCAATGATTTCACTAAGTTTTCTTTTAGACAAAAATTATATCTATATATGTTTCTTTAAAAGTTGCTTGTTTACTATTCATTTATGTGCTTCTCCATAGGTGGTATTTTAATATACAATGCATATTTTAATCTTTTTTTTTTCTTGACAGATCCTTCGCCAGTCCAGCTAATTGTTCAGTTTTTGGAACAGGCTTCCAAACCTTTAGTCAATGAACAGAATCAAGTTCAGCCTCCCCCTGATAATAAGAGAAACCGGATTTTAAAATTACTTGCTCTAAAAGTTGCAGCACATTTGAAGTGGAATTTGGATGTGTTGGAGAAAAGGTATCAGTTGACTTCTTAGATAAGATTGTTTACATATAATTAAGTCATAGTAAAAAGTATTAATTTTCCTATTGTCTAAATAAGTAGTATTTTGAAGTTTCCATTTTAAAGACACATGAACTAAAAATTCAGTCTCAAGACATATTAATCATTGGTAATCATGATGAATAATCAGGAAACTAAGTTAAGATTTAGTTTGTACCCCCATAGGAGAACATCTGGGATAGTTATTTGCTATTCTGTTTTCCAGCTTGTAGGTTAGATGCACAATAAAAATAGCACAAAGACTGCATTGGAACCTTAATGGTTTTTGTTTTGGTAATGTTCTGTAACAAAATTAAGAGCTGATCATGAATCTTCATTTTTTTTTGGTCTTTTAGTTTATCTGTACCTGTATTGAACATGCTATTAAATGAATTGTTGTGCATCAGTAAGGTTCCTCCTGGAACTAAACACATAGATATGGACCTTGCCTCTTTACCTCCAACCACTGCCATGGCTATATTGCTCTACAACAGATGGTAAGATTTATTTTTCTTGAATACTCTTTACTAGAAGTAAAGTGTTAAGGTCAAAGAAATCCTATTCTGCTTATGAGGTTTATAAGTGGTACGTGCACACTAGGTGGCTTTTTTTTCTTTTTGATTAGCTGTCACACAAATAAATCAGTAATTCCATTTGCGTATCATTTTTAGCCTGGGAAAAGAATAAGCTAGTTGGTTTCCAATGTCTCTTCCTTTGAAATTGGTTAGAGCTTTCGATTACAGGTCCTGATTCATAAAAATGACAATTTAAAAATTCGATAAACTAAAGTGAAGCCCTGTTTTATTTCTCTATGTTCTCAACTAGAAGATTGGAGAATGAGTGAAATCAATATTTCCAGTGTGCTACATGCAAATCAGCCTTTTGCTGTCATATTTGTACCAGCTTTAATTTTTTAAATAAGCCCCGATAAATAATGCTAATATCAGAATAATTCACTATTTTGTGCTAAGTTTTGCTTTTTTTTTTAATAGGGCTATCAGAACCATAGTCAACAGTAGTTTTCCTGTCAGATTGGCAAAACCTGGTCCACCTCAGTTGAATGTGTAAGTCTGTCCATCTGTTTCAGCCTAAACCAAAATCAGGATCCAATTTTCAACTCGGCGTGTGAACAAAATATGTATTAAACTTGTTTGATACTCACATCCTTTGAGTTGGCTATCTGATCAATTGAAGTCTTACAGCATATGTTTAAAATATGTATTACAAGATTTTTAGAGGAAAGAGGACACAATCCCTGACTACAGTATATTTATATAAAATAATTCGGATTCTCTTAGAACAAATACAAAATTATTGAAAAAGCTTAACCCTTAAATGATTCAGTTTTCAATCTTGAAATGTGGTTTATTACAAAAAATGTAAGGAAAACCTTTTTGTTGCTTATTTATTTATGTATCCATTTGTGGGTTTGAGTCAGTGTTGACCCTTGGTGACTGCCTGGAAAATCCCTGCAGTTCTCTTGGAAAGATTCTGGAAGTGGTTTGCTTTGCCTCCTCCTAGGACTTGAAAGAGAGTGATCCCAAATCACCTGGCTGCCTTTGTGCCTAAGGTGGGATTACATCTTCTGGTTTCTATCCTGATGCCTTAACATCCACACCAAACTATATCTGTTGCATGCTAAACACATAAGGTATACTGGAAATCTAAATAGTGCAATAACTTGATATTGCATTCAATAATAACTTTACAATTGCTTTTGGCTTTTTTGTTTAGTATGAATCAGTTGCAACAAGAAAAGGAAGTCACAGATAACATTTTGAAAGTGGTAAGGGCTTTTTATTAAGTTATCCACTATTAAAAGTTAGTTGATTCAATTACTCAAGAAAAGTGTTAAAGTTAGGACCTTTCTCATATAAAAATGGCATTTGATATCTTTACTGTGATAATTGGAGCATCTTACTTCTAACTCCAGCTCCATTGGATATGTTGAATTTGTGAAGTTTGTGTGAGAAAATTCTTTCAGGAGGGAATATTTTATATTCTTAGCCTTTTGACTTAAATCATACAATAGGGAAGACTCACATAATAAGTCAGAATAAGGATGTTTTGCAGGGAACTAGATCACAAAATGCCAGTTGCAGTACTGTGCAGTTTATTCCAGCATGTCTGTCTGATAAGTATCGGTAGAGGGGAGAAAATCTATTTTATACACACTCTCCCAAGGGCAAAATAGTGAAAACAACAGGGGTACAATCATATGTATCATTCAAATTGCTGTGCAGAAACCTGAATCAAATTAGTGGTGGTAGAAATAATTGCTTACCTTGTGAATTTCAGAGAGATATAATTATATTTTCTTGCTCATAACACCAAGTTGATCTGTTTATCTTTAAACCATCTTTCATAATGGAAAGATAAATTCTCTTTTAAAAATAATTCATAAATACATCTGTTGCAAGATTAGTAACAGGTGTTCTTCTCTTTGGTAGGACATTGTGAGTGTTGTAGGACAATACTTGATACATAGGAACTGCTTTATAAATAACTGTAAACCAAAATCATTACAAAAAGTAAATCATTATATTTTTCTTTTCATGCAATTACAGGGTAATGATGAGCTTTCTCATTCTGAGCTCAGAGAATATTAAATGGTTATTATTTGGAGATAACTGAGTATGTGAGATATTTGACCCGAGGGATAATTGACATTTGTTAGTGTAAAATTCGATGTAGCTTGAATTAGAGAAGTGCAGCATTTATCTTAAGTAATCAAAACAGGTGTTAATAACTAAGCATTTAAGTTCCTTTGTGTTGTTCCAGCTAAAAGAACAGGCTGCTGATTCCATTCTGGTTTTGGAAGGAGCACTCAAATTAAACAAGGACCTTTACATTCACACTATAAGGACGTTAGATCTGCTAGCTATGGAACCTGGTATGGTTAATGGAGAGACAGAGAGTTCTACAGCCGGATTAAATATTAGCACCGAGGAAATGCAATGCCAGGTGGGTTGATCTTAATGAGTTTGTGTAACAATGATTTTAAGTTAATGACAGCCTTGGAAAAAGTGAATTATGAGCTGTTCTCGAATTATGCCTATCACTACCCCCACGATCATGTGATCACAAATTAATTTTTATTCATAAATAAAGAGGGCACTTGGCAGCCAGTTTGCATTTACAGTAGTTGCAGCCGTGCAGTCACCTGAGTAAGATTTGTAACCTTTCCAGCCAGCTTCCAACAATCAAAGTCAGTTGGGGAAGCCAGATTTGTTTAATTTATACATGATTCGTTTAATAACTGCATGATTCATTTAATGAGCACATGATTCATTTAACAGCCATAGTAAAAATGGTTGTAAAAATGACTCATTTAACAAGCACATTATTTCACAGTCAAAATTCCAATTGTAATTGTTGTAAAAGTTGAGGCCTACCTTTAATTATGGATTCATAAATGAAATTCATTTTAAAACAATTAATGGCCCCATCAGCCATTGTTGACATTCTACATTTGAAGATAGTGTAGCTTTCAAGTGTTTTGAAAATGTGAAGAATAATCACTTTTACAATTGTTGTATTGTTTCAAGACTGATTTATTTGCAAATGTTTGGAAAGAGAAAGCACATTTTTAATGTAGTACATAGAGCAAAGATTTTGTCTCTGCGCATTAAATCATTGCTTTAGAATTTCTTCTGAGGATTCCAACAGGGATTAAAATTTTCTTCTATATTTTTGGGGGGTCTGTTTCAGGTATGCTATGATTTAGGGGCCATCTACTTCCAGCAGGGTTCCACAAACTTTGATTTATATAGGAATGCCAGAGATAAATTTTTTAGAACCAAGGAATTGATTTCAAAGGTGAGTTAACAAGTTTTAAACTAAAGTAGGAAATGAATTTTGTTTTTACCGAAAATGGAAATCCATCTAGAAGCTTCATTGCAAATTTCAAGAAAGTGCCTATAGTTTCACAAGACTGGCCGATCCTCAGATTATTAGAACATTTGTTCAACCTAGTAATCTTGCCATTATTGTGATTTTGTTTCTTTTTAAATAGTAGGATGTTGTAAGTTGTTATGCACAACAAAGTTATACTATGTTGCAAACCGATCTGATATCTTTTAGAAGAAGAATGGTAAATAAGTACTGATAACAACAACAACAAAATGGTATCGATTCTTGGAAAATCATCACACCTCTTTCCATAGGAATTTGAGAAACAAGTCTGTATGAAAGGTGTTTGCCTTGAAGCATAAAACATTGGAAGTGTTTGCTACATTTTTACAACTTTGATAACATTGTATTTTCTAGATTGGCTCATCACTTCATTGCATGATAGATGAAAAGAGGCTAGCTGGTTACTGTCAAGCTTGTTGTGTCCTTGCCCCCTCTGACAGTAGTTCACAACCGTCAACTCCCTACAGTCAAATTCATAGCTGCTTAAGATCTGGCAATTACCAGGTAAACTGCCTACAAACAGGCCTTGCTCTTATAGCTGGTTATTCATTTCTCCAAGTCATTCCAAAGTATTATTGAAGGGTTGAGCATAGCTTCTGCTGATTGGTTAACATTAGTTTTTTTTTTTACCATTGTTACTGATTCAATTTCTGGTCCATCTTTCTTGCAAGGAATTTAGAATAGTGGGCCATCCTCACAGGGGTGGGTTTCTACCGGTTCTGTCCACCTCTGTAGAACCGGTACCTCTGAAGAGCAGCAGACATAGAACCAGTTCTATGTCTGCTGATGTTTTTGCCCACCCGCCCACCTGGACTCTTACCTGACCTTTATTTCCTGCTTTTTCAACTTCAGCTGTGGTGCAAGGCACAGCTGCAGTTAAAAAAGCAGGAAAAAAGTGCTTTTTCAAAGGCTACTTCTCTGCACTCAGCATGCTGATGACGATTTACAGGCATGTACGCAGCGTGCAGGGAAGCATATCATAAATCACCGAACCTCGTAAATCACCGAACTGGTAGTTAACCCTGTCGGATCCCACCCCTGCATCCTCACAATAAATCTGTGGTGTTTATTAGGCAAAACAACATTGACAGCTCAACACCACCCAGTGAATTGGTGGTATAATTGGTGGTTTGTTTCCACATGAAGCCTCACTCTATGCTGCTTTGCAGTGCTGAAGTTTGAAGCACATACCTTTTGAATTAAAACATGCAAGTAGTGCCTGTGTTTGTGTTCTAGGAACTGGTAAAGATTTTCCTTGAAGATAACCGCATGCCCACTTTACCAATTCAGTTCAGACAGTCGGTGTTACGGCAGCTCTCCCAGAAGGCTCAACAAGGGTGAGGCATAAATTGAAGGAGAGAACCACTCTGACCCACATCTATTAATTATTTGTCAAGCCTAGCAGAGTAGATAGATTGCTGAGCAACCCTTTGCCTTTGAGTTGTCTGTTGTACAAGCCCAGAGAAAGAAAAATAATTTGCAAGGATAGAAAGTTAGGGAGAAGTACAGTTGGATGGTGTTCGTGTGAACTAGTTTTAATTTTTAAATTTCCGTTTCTTTCCTTTTTTGTTTTTCCTTATCTTAATTTCTTTGGCTTGTTTTTCTTACCCTTTTCTATGGTTTGTGTAATGTTACTTATCCTATGGTATGATAGGTATTGCATATGTATATTGCATATGTATAATTGGTTGTTATACTAGGATATAAAAACAGCACGTGTAAGTTTTTGTGTGCCAATTTGCCTCGGTTTATTTTTTATTTTACACAGAGATGAAGTTCTTGATGAAATCTATTTCAAGGTTTGTGCATGCAACAATGTTTGTGATGTGATGCAGGGTCGGCCAGTTGGCGTCCAGTTTACTCAGATGTTTCTTAGACCTACCAAAGAAAAAATAGACTTTCTCCTAGAGGTAAAAATATACCCAATTTTAGATTTAACTATACACACATACATGCACTTGTATTTCATTATTCGTGTTTAATGTTCCTTTAAAAATCTGAAGACAAGTCTGCTATTTCTTTTAAAGGCATTTCGTAAGGCAGATTTTTGTACATCTCTAACTTGGCATGTTGCCAATTTATGAGCTAACTCATTTTAAGGTTTTGTTAAGTGGCTTTTTCTATATGCTGCATCTGATTTTGGTTAATTATTAATGAGGATTATCACCATAATAGATGCGGATGTCTCAAGCAAGTTATACCAGTAAACAAACAAAATTCCATTAGATGAAATATGACTGCATAATGTGAAATGAGACTTTTCTCTGATTCTTCATATGCAATAAGCATTTTTAAAAATCCTTTCCTATTCTAGGGTCTATATATGTGGCTTTTCTAATTTGTAACTAAAACTAGGTAGAGAAAATGCTTCCTTCATTCAAAAGATAACTATGTAATGTTATTGCTATAAACAAGGTTTCAAAGAATATACCATGCCAAAAAATGCATACTCTATTTTTCTAAAGAGTTTACTGGATTTTTCTTGAGATTTAATTATTCAATATTTAAACTTCTTAGGTGTGTTCAAAATCAATACATGTAGAAAATGCACCAGAATCTTCAAAAAGAAAAATGGCTTATTTTCTAAAGTAAGTGTGCGATAAGAATTTATACTGTGTTAAAAATTGGACAGTAATTTTGTCTTTTACCTTTTTTTGGATGATAAGGGATAGTGAAACGATTCTGGAAGCTGCTGAAGAGAGAACCATATAAGAGAAAATTAGGGTATTTTGTTTTTGAAAGGGAGATGTATACTCACCTGCAAGCTATTAGTAGCTTACTAAAACTACTTTTCCTACAATCATGCAGCTTTCATTAGCATAATCTGAGGAAGTGATGTGGTTAAATTGGAAGTGTAATTCATTGTAAGATATCTCTGTTAAGAATTCATTGATATATGAATTTCCTAAGTATTACTAACCCAGCAATCTGAAGAAAAAAGTTGTCACTTTTCTTTCCACAAACATTTGCTCTTAATTCTGTGCAGGAATCTGTGTCTGGGTTTGGAAGATCTCCAATTTGTCTTCATGATTTCCTCCCATGAGCTCTTCATAGCTCTATTGAAAGATGATGAACGAAAACTGCTCATTGATCAGATGAGGAAGAGGTCGCTTCGAGTCAATTTAGGCACTAAACTGATAACATCATTTTATGATATTCCAGGTAATTTCTCTCACTTCCCTTAAATTTTTCACAACCTTTTTTTGAGCAGAATAAAATAATATGGTAAGAATATTTTTACTGTAGTCAGCTAATGCAGCTTGTTGAATTGACGTGTTTTCTTAAGTGACACACTTACACATATTTCTGTTGGCTATGGTTAATGTATATGTCTGTACTTCAGAACAGTGGAGTTTATAGCTCAGTATGGGATATCAACAAGTCTACAGATTATTTAACTTCTTTTACTGATTAGTAGCAATTCTCTCGTGAGCAGGCACCTGAGAGAAACACCTACATTTATAACGATTGCAACAGTGAGATGCTTTTCTGCTCGTTTTCTCTGCTATTATCAGGAGGATAAATCAGTGCAATGTTTTGGACTTGGAATGGAGTCATGTAACTTTTTCAAGCTTGTCCCAGCTAGATCCCTGGGAAAGAATGACCTCAACTATATTTGGTTGAAGCGATGGGTTCTTTTACTAGGATTAGTGGTTGCAAATAAAGGAAGGCTAGAACTAAGGTTTCCTGTGCAAAGACTACAAAATTTTCCCCTTTGTGGTCCTTCCCCCTTGTGACCAGATCGTTATTGTCCAATAGCATGCCAGTGCGATGTTTTGGGAACCGCTCTGATGGGCGTATCCTGCAATGGCTTCTCATTCTTTCCAATGCCAGGTGTCCTTGAGGCAGCTGGATTAATCCAGTTTAACATGTCTGGTTCCTGTCAGTGCCACTCTCTCCCCCCCATACGTGTATCTCCTGTCTTCTTGTCCTCCTGTACATCTCCTCCTCCTCTTATTTGAAGCACCTCCAAGCCCAAAGCAGTCGAGGAGAAGCCCCTGCCTCCCATGATGGTGGTGATGGTGGAGGAAACACTATGAGATAAAGAGGATGCTAGACTTGAGATACTTTAAGGGGAAATTACAATATTTAGTGCAGTGGAAAGGGTATCAGCTGATGCAGAGTGGGCACAATGTCAGTGCAGATAAACTAGTAAGAAGGTTTTATGAAAAATACCCTCAGCGACTCTTTGATTGCTGATGGTGTTTTGCATGGAACCTTCTTACTAGTTTGCCTGCACTGACATTGTGGGCACCTGCCCCCCCCCCCCTTTACTGCTTTGAACCCCATCCCACCGTTTATGACAGGATGCTAGCAAGATTAGCAGAGAGTAGCAAAGATGGAAGCTCTGATAAACTTGTGCTTTTGCTTAGTTTTCATCATTATAACTAGATGATGCGTCTTTAGATGGGTCAAATGGAAAAGGCATAGGGAGAGACCAGGGTCCTCTTAAGATAAGAAAGACAACAAGGTTGCTCCAGGTTCTGACAAATTTCTCTAAGACCATTAACAAACCATTAATCCTGTTTTGAGAATCATGATACAACAGTGTAATAAGCATGTACCCTTACGTACAATTCTGTATATACTCTGAAAAGTCCCATTATCAATTTAATTTAATTTAGTTACTCAAAAGTGATGTCTTTAGAACACGTGCACACAAAATGCATTCTCTGCCTTCCTCCTGCCTTTTCAGACAGTAAATATAATATTTTATTTAATTGCATAATTACACTAATTTCAGCTGAAATTAATGAAAAGATTAAGCTATCTCATTTCTTAACTTTTGAACAGATCGTGTCCATTCTTACAGTTAATGGTCACTTAGGTATAAATTTCTCAGCAATAAATATATGGTGGTTTTTTTTCCAGCTTTAGCGAGTGTGAATATTGGCCAGTTGGAGCATCAGCTTATTTTATCACTGGATCCTTGGAGAATCCGCCAGATTTTAATTGAGTTACACGGTATGACATCTGAACGCCATTTCTGGACAGTTTCCAATAAGGTAATTTCCTTTATTTAAAGATGAAGAATGTAATGATACATAGTTATAATTATGTAAAAATATAATATATGTATATTTTTTCTAGTGGGAAGTTCCAAATGTTTATGGCAATGTTATCCTAGGAATTAAAGATAATTTGACTAGAGATTTAGTCTACATCTTGATGGCAAAAGGACTACATTGCAGTACAATTAAGGTGAGAAAGATTGCTTATTGGTATTCTGAAAGGCCACAAAGAAAAATTGCCTTGTTATTAAAATGTCATAATAGTATTTTGACTTATGATTAAAATATGTAAACAATCTTATCTTATTACATGGATATACTGACTATGGGTCTGTATAGTGTGAAAGGTTAAATATATTTTAAAGATTACTTGTTTATTTCTCTTATTTTCTCATGCCTCATTTCTTAGTTCTGTAGTTGTTGGTTTCAATTTTTTAAATATATCAGCACATGCTAAGAAAGACATATGACTTGTCAGATACCTCTTGAATGCAAGAGAAATTTAGAACTAAATTTCATTGAACTGTAACAAGTAGGTGTATTGTACAAAACTTAGCATGTAAAATGCCACAAGTACCTGTCTTCTGCTATAATATCTCAGCATTACTAATTGTTTGTAAATGTGACAACAACAACAAAAACCTGTTGCTTTTTGTTGCAGGATTTTGTCCATGCCAAGAAACTTTTTGCTGCCTGTCTTGAACTTGTGACTGAATTTTCTCCGAAGTTGCGCCAAGTGATGCTGAATGAAATGCTGCTTCTGGACATTTATACCCATGAAGCAGGAGTAGGACTTTCCGGAGAACGTCCTCCCTCTGACTTGATCAGCAGAGTTCGGGGGTACTTAGAAATGAGGGTGCCTGGTAAGAACCTTCAGGTTAAGAACATGGCAAGATTTCCATCTTTGGGAAGAATTTATTTGTTTATATCCCACCTTTATTATTTTTATAAATAACTCAAGGCAGCAAGCACAACTTCTATTCCTCACAACAGCAACCACCCTGTAAAATGGGTTGGGCTGAGAATGAGTGACTGGCCCAACTGGCTTTCATGGCTAAGACGGGACTAGAACTCACAGTCTCCTTCTATCAAGCCTGGTGTCTTAACTACCTAAACCAAACTGGCTCTATTAAGAGTTATCAATCTTTACAATTTACAATTGTATTATTATCAGTTATAGTTCTTACAATTGCATTTTTGTCTGCTGGCCAGTTGTAATGCTACATTAATGCTGATTGATGGTCAGCCATACATAGAATTGTATATTCAAGATTTCCCGCTTATGGCTCATGAGCCACAAACAAATAATTGGTATTACTTCTCTAACCCACATGTTCTGTCTTGGCACTTTCCTCCTCCTCCTCCCTATTTCCCACTTCATAAACCATAGAGTTCTCTTAAAAGCAAGGAAGTTTTCATAAGCTTGTTAATTGCTTTCAACTTTCAAGGATATAATTTTTGTAAAGAACCATCTGATCAGTTCCTGTTTTAAAATCCATTGTAGATATTCCTCTTCGACAAGTTGTAGCAGAGGAATGTGTTGCCTTTTTGTTAAACTGGCAGGAGAGCGAGTACTTAACTATGCACGTTCCACATTCATTGGTACAGACTAATCCTTATGTGAAGGTAAGGCATAGTTTTGTATTGATTACTTAATTGAGGAATCCTGAACTTGTTTGCTGTATATGTTAAGTTCTAACTTGTTTGCTGTATATGTTAAGGTGTAGTCTACTAGCAGTATTCAGTAGTCCGATCCAAAGTGAGCAGTGGTAGTTTCAGATCTAGGCTGCCACTGGTATCTTAAAAGAAGGTGCACTTTTTTCTGTGTGAATTCACAAGTATGTGACTGGAAGTAGTCATCTCACAGACGGAGGGGAGTCCGTGCCAGATCAAAAGCACTCTTCTGATCCAAATATTATACATCCCTTTTACTTGTTTTCCCCGAGTGCTTGTTTTTCCTATCTGTACTTATTTCTACCTTGCTTGGTAAAATATTTGCATTTGCAAATAACATTTCTTTGTGGCCATTCACAATTGATTTTGTGGTAGGATAGCTTGTACCATATAACATCAAGTATATACATATTGGGGACATGGTGGCTCAGCAGTTAAAGATGCTGAGCTTGTCAGCTGGCAGGCAGGGTTCAAGACCTGAGTGCCATGTGACAGAATGAGCTCCCATTACTTGCCCCAGCTCCTGCCCACCTAGCAGTTCAAAAGCATGCAAATGCAAGTAGATAAAGACACTTTGGCATGAATTCTAGTCTGTCAGTTCTTTTCTGAGTTCTGCACTTTGGTGAGAAAGTAACTGCTCCATGCACTTTGATTATAGACATGCTGGCCACATGATCAGGGAACCGTCCTTGGACAATCCTGGCTCCCTCCACCAAGAAATGGAAATGAGCACTGCCTCCTAGAGTCAGACACAACAGGGCAGGGGAAACCTTTACCTTTATATATATAGTAAGAATCTTGCCTGGTCCAAAATCTGAATTATTTTAGTTTTATAAGAATAATAATACAATAGTCCAAAATTAGCGAAATCAGAGAACTCTATCATTAATTCTGAATAGTTGAGATGTGTTGGGAGCTTTAGACTATTTGTTTAATATCAGAAGCTCCCTATTCAGGCCCTTAACTGCATTTGAACTTCTGAATTTCAGAAATACCTGCACTATGATGAGCATGGTGTTTCTGGACAATTATCTGGACCTATGTGTTCTTTTGAAGTATCCTGCATATTTCTGGCTAATGATTTTAGTATTAACTTGGATAATACTAAGTTCCAATAGGGATAGATTGCTGGAACAAATAAGATTAATGCATTCAAAGACTTTCTTCTTTTTTGCTTAGTTAGGCCAGCTTTTGGCTGCCACAAGTCAAGATCTTCCTGGACCAAAAGAAGGCAGGTGGGCAGCTACAGACCTTTGGGAGATTGTTGTACAAATCTGCAGTGTATCCCACCAACACAAAAGAGGGAATGATGGCAGAGTGAGTTTAATAAAGCAGAGAGAATCGACATTAGGCATTATGTACAGGTAAACTGCTATAATTTTCTTACATCCCTAAATGTTGTAATCATATTATTCTATATCTAATAGCAATAGGACTTAGATGTCATGCCTCCGTTGGAGTCTGACTCTGAGGAAGAGGAGGAACAGCCAACAGGGAGTGGGAGTGGGGCTCCAGAGATTGTGGAGGAAACTGGGGAAGGGCACAGGCCGGCTGGGCATTCAGAGGAAGACCCAGGCCCATCCCCTCTTCATCCTAGGGCATGTAGGGAGGAGCGGATAAGGGAGAAACGTGAATGGCGTGGTCTACAGGGGAGGAAAGGGCCCTGATCCCCTTCACAGGCTGCAGTTGTGAGGACTGGTTAAAAGGACAAACTGCGCATGGCCTAGTGCTGGAAGCAAAGCATGAATTCTAGTCTGTCAGTTCTTTTCTGAGTTCTGGCAAGTCCTTCCCAGTGTATGTATTTTGATATCTGTGGACATCTTCAAGGCCTTATCCTGCCTTGCCTCATTAATTGCTTCAGTGTCGTTTGTTTTGTTTTTCCTATTTATAATTTATATGTATTTTGAATTTGAATGGAATTTCTTCCTTTTCACAACTGTTCGTGGGGGAGTTTTTTCTCCAGTCAACGATAATTGGACCTTGGAGGACAAGTTGAAGGAATTAAAGGGACTTCACCTATTTTTGTGACTTTGTTGCTTTTGTATCCCACCCTGGGTCATCACATTAGATTTATATACCGCTTCACAGTGCTTTACAGCCCTCTCTCAGCGTTTTATAGAGTCAGCATATTGCCCCCAACAACAATCTGGGTCCTCATAGAAAGATCTTGCTTGTAGTTAAATTTTCTAAGAATATCTAATTTACTTCTAATTAAGCTAATTTACTTCTAATTAAGCTTTTATTTTAAGAATAAAATAAAAGTAGTTTCCTAAAATTGTTGAGGGTAAGTTCTGTGCAATATACAAAATAAATACATAGCTTGTACCATATTTACATAATATTTAATGATCTTGTTTGTACATTGTAAACAGAATAATTCCAGCAACAGTGGAATTTTTTCACAAATAGCAAACTCAGGTGATGAGCACTAAAAAGATTGGAGCCAAAACAAGGCAGCTGATAAGACAGGTAGATAGGCATATTCTGGAGAATTTTTCTGAAGTACAAACATATGTAAAACCGATAAAGGCATGGTGAAATAAATGCTCTCCAGAATGGTGGTTGCTTTTGGAAGAGAAAATTTAGGTTGAGGATAGGGGCATGAACTACCATTAGAAAGTGTGGAGATACTTCAATATTTTGGTATGTTTTATGCATATTGTCAGGTCTTGCCATTTCTCCTTACTATTTGAGTATGCTTTGTTTTTGCTGCTCCTTTTGAGGGTCCAAATATTGATTAGATCTGTATTAAAATCTTTTACATTGTTTCACTCTTCTAGAAAAAAAAAGTTATAAACCTAATCTAATAATAAGTCAGTACATTAAACAAACATTTTCTCTTTAGGAATGAGTTATTATCGTTCATCAAAAAATTGCGGGTGAGTTTGGAGTTAAAGATTATAAATGTGTTAAAGCAGGGGTGTCAAACTGGGTTTCTTCAAGAGCCGGTTCACCATTGTAGTTTTCCGCGGACTGACTGGAGGAGGGGGGAAGATGGGACGGATGCCTCCTGCAGCACCCAGCCGGCCAAAACAGGGCACCTCCCACACCCCATTTTGGCCAGCAGAGTGCTGCAGGAGGCCATTCCAGGCCAAAAACTGGGTGTGCACCCCCCACGCCCCATTTTGGCTGCCAGAGGCATCACCAGCCAGGCCTTTGCTATTTCCAGGCCGGCTCCGCAGGCCAGATTTTAAGCACCGCGTGGGCCAGATGTGGCCCGTGGGCCTTGAGTTTATGTTAAAGCATAAAAGCCTGTTTCTACTGAACAGGGATCCCTGCTGGGTATAGTCAGACTACACTAACCATAAGTTAGTGGCGACTACACTGATGTGACCAAAACTTTGCCTGTTTCCTATGTGTGTCACCATAACATCATGTCTATTTTTGGGGTTATATCCCATGAACACCCTATTGCTAATAAGGACGCTAAACAAAAATATTCTAATTAAGAAAGTGATTTTCATACTATACTTGTCAGAAACATTTTTTGACATATTAACAACGGGAATAAGTTGTCCTATTGCTGAGTGGCAGGACTGGGATATGAGTCTGATTTCATCAATTATACGGCCTTCTAAAGCAGGGGTCGCCAACCTTTTGGACCTCAGGGACCACCAAATTCATAATTTTAAATCCTGGGGACCATAGACCCTGGGAAAATCCCAAAGAAAGTCTGCAGGAAAATTCCCCACCCAATTTTCCTACCGATCAATCATTCTTTATTTGGGATCGCAGGATACCGTCTCCAGCTCTGTTCTCAGGGGAAGAGAGAGAGAGAGAATTTTGGCTTCATGCAAAGTAAGCAGCAGAAGCAGCAGAAGTCTTTCTTTCTCTCCCCCAAATTCTGCCAGAAATGAGTCTTTGCCGGCACAATCTCTTGGAGCTGGATGCCTTGCAAGGTCCCAAAGACTCATTTCTGGCGGAGTTTGGGGGAGAGAAAGAAAGACTTTTGCTGCTTCCCTTGTGTGCAGACAAAAGCAGAAGAAGAAAAAAGCAGAAAGAAGCAGCCCGGTGGCCAGGCGAGGCACATGGGGTGAGTGGGGCAAGTCCCACCCCCGCCCTTTCCCCCCTCTCACTACCTCGTGTTGTTTGCAATGCAAGCGACACAAGCCTTGTGGCCATGTGGGCAGCATAGCCTTGTGTTCCTGCGCAGCCTGGATTAATTGCTTTGGGGGTGACATTTCTCTGCGGACCACCAGTGGTCCCCGGCCCACTGGTTGGCGACCACTGTTCTAAAGGACATCATTTTCATTGCTAATGAGTTAATACAAAATATTTTAAAATATAGTTACTGTAACTTGTCTTCAGATTTGAGAAATGTGAAAATTGATTTAAAACAATTTCTATAAAAAGGACCCCAGCAAATTGTACGCAGTATTGTATCCAAGATAACTTTTAGAGAATTATTTGGGAGCAAATTAAGGTAGTTAAGTCTAGTGGGGCATGAAGATAAACCACTATAAACCTAAATCAATATAGGTAGTCCTCATTTAACAACAGTAATTGGGACTGGCAACTCTATTGCTGAGTGACATCATATGACTTACAGTGCAGTTTGGGTTATTGTTGTTAAGTGCATCTCGCACTATTGTTAGGACAACATCATGTGACCACCATTTGCAACCCCCTGTTTGCTGCCCCACTGACTTTGTAAGAAGCTGGCAATGAAGGTCCCAAAAGATAATCACAGGAGCTGGTTGTCTTATTCGGCACCGACATAACTTCAAATGGTCACTGAACATGTTAAATGAGGGCTATCTGCATGGCAAAAATTTGCCTAGAAAATCTGAACTTCATGGGAAAAGGCTGTTATTTTATATAAGCTCATGTTTTCTCAATGTTTTAATAGGAACCTGTGGTTTTGACAACAATATTATCCTTGTTTGTCAAGCTTCATAACAATCATGTAAGTGCAGTATTCTCTTTTATCATAAATCATCCTCTGTGCTTTTTGAATTCTCTTACTTATTTTATCTTGACTGTATGTGTGTCTATATAATATTTTTCCTTTTTTTTAAGGAATTAATTGTGAATAATGTCACAGCAGAGTATATTTCCATTTGGCCATCATCTTTTCCTAAGTAAGGAATTTTGTTTGTCCAACTCTATTTATAAATACAACGAAATGTATTTTTGTTTCTTCAGATCTGTACAAGTTATTTCTTCGCTCAGAGCCCCATGTAAAGCTCCATTGGTCATTTCAGATTAACAGAGAAACTTTTTCTATCTCAATGGGGCTGTCATAAAGAAATACATTTAGAGTGCAATCATTTCCATAACCAATAGAAAACAGAAAAGGAAGTTTATGTATGTAGCAGTGAAGGGGCCAATTTTTGTCTAGAACTCTGTCCTTTAAGTGTAACATTACTAAACAGGGCATGGAGGAGTACATAGAATTATTTAAATATTTTTATTAAAACAGATTTTAACCACATCATAGTTTTAAATACAATTCCTAATAATTATGTTTTCCAATTTCAGCTTTCAGTCGTCAGTAGATTTTGAAGCAGTAGCTGTCACCGTCAAAGAACTAGTCAGCTATGTACTCACTATAAATTCAAACAATCATTTCTGGTTGATCACTCAGGCAGATATTTATTTTGGTAAGTAGAGTTAAACCTGTTTCTGTCCATTTTTATATATAAGTTTTGCAGTATATCAGCATGTATGTATGTATGTATGTATGTATGTATGTATGTATGTTTTCTTAAGTTTTCACGGTTACTTACATGTATGGTATTCAGCTTTGTTCGGTATTTTCCCACGTCATTATAGTTGTGCTTTTAAAGTTGTAGCAATGTTTCGGCAGAATGTCATCTGCCATCATCAGGCTTCTGTAGTGTTCGTCTGTGAGTCAGACTTTCACAGCCGTTTCTGTTTTATGTGAAAGTCTGTGAAAGTCTGACTCACAGACGAACACTATACAGAAGCCTAATGATGGCAGATAAGATTCTGCCGAAACGTTGCTACAGCTTTAAAAGCACAACTATAATGACGTGGGAAAATACCCGAACAAAGCTGAATACCATACATATAAATACCCACGAAAACTTAACATATATATATATATATATATATATATATATATATATATGTATGTATGTATGTATGTATGTATGTATGTATGTATGTATGTGGTGGTAGCATCTTGTGTAGCCCTCGTGGGTGTGGGTCTGGTGTCATTCTTCATGTTAGGTACTCGTTTGTTAATGAGGGCGGGTTTCCAAATGGCTGGTAGGCGGGAGGTATCATCTTGTTTATTCATGCTGTGTGGGCGTTTTGATGCTACCACCACACTTCCACGTAGAAAGCAGACTCACACCCACACAGATGATGATACACGACCACGGACCAGAAGCCGTACCGCAGCTGCATCACTACCCGCTTCAAACCCCTCCGACCCATACATGAAGCGAACGGACGCCCACCATGAAGATGTGGCATGACCACAAATGCGAAGCCAAACAACAGGATCACAGCTCACCAGCTCAAATCCCCCAGCAACTAAGACTAACCTAAGCACAACCAAGCCCCCATCTGAACAGAACACACCCCCAGCCAATCAGAACACAGCCAACCCCCCACCCAATCAGAACACAGCCAAGCCCCCACCCAGTCAAGCCGCACTCCCACTGGCAGTTAAAAGAAAAAACAGCTGCAAGCTCACATTACTCCAAGAAGCACAAAGCCGAAGACACAAGCCTGAAGATGACGAATGAGATTTCGTCGAAACGTCGCCAAAATACTTCCAATTTTACGCGGGAGAAAACCCAATATATATATACACACACACACACTGTTTTATATATATATAGGATTGGGCCAATCTAACGTCTGGGAGAGGTGATGTTCCAAAGGGAAGGTGCCACAACATTTTGGTGCAAGGACAGTGTCACTTTGAGGCCAAGGCTGAAAACTTTATTTCTTTTTCTCTTGTCAGGATATTTTGCCTTAATTTTTCCATCTTAGTCAAACATTGTTGGTAGAGAGGACAGTGTAACTAACTTGTAAAATCCGGCCTAATTCACAACAAATGTTAAGCTGTTGTGTAATGCATCTTGGGGTTAGCATGATGAGCCATATCATTATGCATAAATTGGGTCATTGTGGTTCATTTAACAAATCTGGAAGTTAAAAATCTTTAACTTCGTGTTACATGTGAATATGACCACTAGATGAAATCATTAACTTTTTTTGTCTTCTCCATCTCTAATGTAGCAACTAATCAATACTCTGCTGCACTTCACTACTATCTTCAGGCAGGAGCAGTGTGCTCAGATTTCTTCACTAAGATGGTGCCACCTGATGTATACACTGATCAGGTGAGTGATGAGTTTAGGTAGCAGTATGCAAGGAATATAGACACACACACACACACACACACACACACAGAGGTCTCTGATGATCTGGGCTGCTCTACAATACAAGCTTTGTATTAAAGTGGACCATTGATTAAAGTTCAGCATTCTAAACATGGGCACTTCAAATTCCTTATTTTATGACATTTTTATCATCTCTCCTACTGCAGTGAACTTAGAATAAAGTGCATTATTTGGAATTGCTCATTCAATGACATTTCCCCATATATATCAAAATTACAGTATGAACACTTCCCCTCCCTCCACCATACTTTTTCCTATCTTTATTTCACTTCCAGCCCATCCATTAGACATCCTTAAATCACCTTAGTTGTATTAGTGCTATAATAGCCATTTCACCTTGAGAGCAATCGGCCAGGTTCAGGATGCATCAGATCTGACTTGCTTTGATGCTTGTTAGTAGCACAATCAGGTGATCGATGGGAGAACAAGAACAGCCCAGTGTCCATTGGCTACTTCATGCTGGGGCAGATAGGTCCTTTCCCCTCTAGGGTTAATCTGACCTGCAGAGGTGTTCTAGGAATGTTCTGGAGGTCAGACATTTCTCTTTCAATGTACACTTGAATGTATTCCAGGCTTTGATTGTTGATATTACATAATAAACCCAGCAAGTATTGATAATTAATTAGAAGGCTTAATATTTAGCAACCTGGCACTGTACAGTGTATCTTTCTGTCATCTTGAGCCTTTTAGTACCAGCAGTATATTAAGCTGTTTTATATTCAGATGTGATACAGATTCTTCAATACTTTTGGCATTTCCAGAAGTTGGGTATCCACAGTAATTCTAACTAGACTAGAAGCCAAGATAATAATGGAACAATTTATAGCAAGTAGAGTCAATGGAACATTGGTAGATGTGTTTGGTTTCAAAGAGGTTGTTTTTGCTTATGCTATCAGTAGTGAAGCAGAAAACAATTGTTAAGCAATATAACTTGTATTCATTGTTTTCCATTTAGGTAGCTGTACCAGGTAAATGGATAAGTTGTAGTTTCTTTAATTTGCATATTTCTCTATAGGTGATTAAACGAATGATAAAATGCTGTTCTCTTCTCAATTGCCATACACAGGTAAGAATATATATCATCTATTAATTGGGAAAATTGTGAAGAGAGAAATACTACCAAAACAGGCCTGTACTGCATTCATCTGGAGTGCAGTATTATTGTATGAATCATGATAAGTTATATATTAGCAAATCATTATTCTTCCAGGTAGCAATTTTGTGCCAGTTTCTTCGAGAGGTAGATTATAAAACTGCATTTAAAGCACTTCAGGAGCAAAACAGGTAAACCAGAGTTTCGTTTACCAAATAAACACATATAAATGGCATAAAAATAACTGAAACCCTGTTTTTCAGCCATGATGCTATGGATTCTTATTATGACTATATATGGGATATTACTATCTTGGAATACTTGACATGTATCCTTTTATTTTAAAAAGCTGCGTGGGATTGATTTGCAACCAGAATGGCTTTAGTAATTGGCTATTAGTTAAACTGGTAATGGTAATTGAATTTATAAGTGTAGCAGGGAGATAGCACAAAATAAGGAAATCCTTTCTCTATTTAAAAAAAGCTACATTTTAAAAGATTAGGACCTTGACCTTGCTCATTTTGCCAGAGGAAGAATTAGGCTCACAGAAGGTGCAAGGAAACTGTTTCTAATAAGAATTTAGATGACTGTTTCCTGGAATTTCCTAAACAGTGTTTCAGATCTTCATCACAAGCGAGGCGAAACAGACAAGAAACAGATAGCCGTAAGTTCTTACAGTTTCTTATATTGAAAGGAATTTCTAAGGTATTGCAGTAGTCTGTGTGTGAAACCATTACATTAAAAAAATCACCCTTTTCCCCCCATTGACAAAATCTGTGAATAAGAATTTACTAACCTAAGTTTTTGTTGATGTTTGGACACATAGATTAAAGCTATTGGGCAGACCGAACTGAATTCTAGCAACCCAGAAGAAGTACTTCAACTTGCTGCTCAACGACGAAAAAAGAAGTTTCTTCAAGCAATGGCAAAGCTTTACTTTTAAAAACTTACTTTCCTTTGCAATATAAGGAGAAGAAAAGTGTCCATTTCAAGATATTTCAACACTTTATTTAACATGAGCATTTTTTATAATACATATTTATAAACATACTGTGGTATTGTCCTATTTATAAAACATAAAATCCCTCATTTTTCACAATACAGAATTAGATTAGCTGTATATTGCATGTGGAAAAATAGATGCAAGTTGTAATGAAGAATGGCCTACTATTCAGCATGTAAGCTCTCCTTTGCATTCAAGCTGTCCTTATTGCAATCCAGTCTTTGTTTCTCTTGCATTGTAGTCAGCTAGTTTATAGAATATATAGTAGCACTTCATGAGGAAAGAGGTAGGATATGGCAGCTGTTCACTGAAGATGTTCCAGTTTAAGTGGAAAATTCTTAAACTGCTTCTTTACCTCTAAAAGTAAAGTTTTTCAGTCTTTGTATTCCCTATTCATGCTTTATTATATTAAGGCAGTTTGTTACCATTCCTTAGTTACACTAATAAGTGTATGGCAGTAGGCACATTGGCTTAGTAACCTTAGGTTAAAAAGGTTAATATAAAGGCTTTTATTTTGTGGCTGCACTGATGTGCAAGCTGAAAAGTGACTCACTTTGTTGAGTCCATAGATTCAGATTTCCTCACTCAGGTCAGAATAATGTTTTATCCTATGCAAAACCAGCATACACCAATAGAAAATTGGCGAAACAGTTCTATTAAATTCACAAATAACTAAATTTGACCAATTCATTTGCATCTGTTAAAAAAAATAAAAGTTTCTTAAGACAGCTTTAAGTTAAAAATCCATAGTTAATTATGAATTTAGTTAATCAGAAGAAATCCAATTTCTCTAGGCCTTGTTGGGCTTCAAATGTCAAAGATCCAGGCCAGCTGCATGTGAACGTCCTTCAGTTGCATCCTGATAGTCTTCTCAGCCACATCATGTGTGAAAACTCTGTGTTTATTCAGTCTTAACAAAGATCCCAGTCTTTGCACACAGAGTTTTCACTTTTCAGAGCTCTTTGGAGGAGTTATTATTCCTCCCGTAGATACCGGTGATAGCTGACTGGGTACCGCTACTTCATAGTTTATTTCATCCTATCCAATAAAAAGAACAAATTATTGTGATGAAAGGGGCGTGGGGAAATCTTCCTAGCCTCTTTGTGTCACTTCTTTGGAAAGGTGAAATAATCACTCTGCAAGGTATGTTGGGCCAAAAGGGAGTGAGTGGTCCAAAGTCACGTGAGAGCTTCTGCGGCCGAGACTTTAACCTGGGTCTCATTGGATTTTGGCCAACATTTTCACAACACCACCACACTGGCTTTCACATATCTCAGAGTTATTATAAGCTGCCTATTGATGATCATTCCTTAAAAAAAATAATTTCATATCATGGTAGTCAAATTATTAAGTCATCATTTAGGCATTATTAAGTCAGCAGCTAGTTTAAAATTCATAACGCTAGCCAAATCATTGCATGCTTTGTCAGCAGCTGGACCTGAATCTGGAAGTCTCCACAGATGATCGTATGGTCTTAACATTTTCTGCTGACAACCCTTTTGTTCATGACTAGTTCAACTACTGTTCTTTAGATTTCAGGTACTCCTCACCCCAGTGTTCTAGGCCTTGTCCAGACCATGGTAGATGATTTTTGCCATCTTAGAACCATAGGAAAACGCATACTACTAGCGAATAACTACATTAGTTAGGAAAGATATAAAGTATTCTAATTCCAAGAAAGTATAAACACAATGGAAGACCAAACACATTAAAGAGGGAAAATTCATTCTTACCAACATATCCAAATAATTTGTATGGGTTTGTATGTTGTGTCTATCTTCCACTGCAATTTTCTTGAAATTTTTCAATTTCACTGGTATTTTTTTTGCTACTTTGAAAAATGGTTCCATCCACTCAACGCATTCTGCAATATTAGCCCAATCCAATCCTAAAAACAAAGTGAAACAATTTATTGTAGCGACCTGAAATATTTGACATCTGTTATATATATATATACTAATGTCTCAAAGCCTCCTGTTTATGTTTTACTTCTGTTAACTTGCAAGGCTGGAAGACGCTTTTGCATTGCTCTTACACAGAAGCATCTTAGTCACTATAAGTGCAGGTCAGTGTTGCTTCAGAGTCGTCTTTTAGCAATCTCCACCCACCAATATCTAGCCTGCCAACACATCAAAAAAAATTCTTTATTTCTTTATACTGAGAGCATATGCACCAAAGACAAATTCCTTGTGTGTCCAATCACACTTGGCCAATAAAGAATTCTATTCTAAATTTTTGCATATTGGTGAGCAGAGCAAGGAGACTATCCAAGAGAACAAAGAGGACAAAAGAATGGAAAATGGATAGCTATATAGCCATATTTCCCCCTCATTCTTTACATTATTTTCTCCATTGAATGTTCAAGACAAAAGAGAGAGAAAACAAAGCAACAGAAGAATAGATATTTTTTAAAAAGAGAGGCACAGAATCTCATTGTATGATTCCCCAATTCATACTAACAATATTTTAATCATGCCTAAAATAGAAATGAAAATTGGCCATGGAAATCATAGAAGAAATCTATTACTTTAATGTGTGGCTGAAAAAGGAGGAAATAGAGGATGAAAATAAGGTGGATGAGGCAAGGCCCCAGAAAGCAGGAAGTCTCGGGATGAAAAAAAGTATTGAATTGAAAATTTAGATGCCATTTCTTTAGAACAGAGGTGTCAAACTCACGTCATCATGTAACATATTGCAACTTTTTCCCCCTTTGCTAAACCCAGCATGGGCATGACCAGCACATGACACATCTGGACCACGGGCTGCGAGTTTGACATTCATCACTTTTATGGTCATGTCATGGATATGCCAAATTTATTAAACATTGTACCCTTCAATGTCTTATGGCAGTTGCAGACTCACATACATTAACTTCCAAAAATGAAAAGAAAAACACAATTATTCATAGTTTACCATACCTGAAGCCTTCTTTACTACTAGTTCTGAGGTATGATAGCAGAGGGCAGCAGCTGCCAATATCCTATATTGGAAATCCAGAGAATTGACATCTAGAATACAGAGATCTAAAAGCTGTGGAATGACATACATATCATTAGAAAGAACTTTACAAATACAACAATGCATCAACTGTTGCTCAATATAAGCTCAGTATAAAATCTACAGTATCTTTCCCACAATTCTTATATTAGAAAAACTCAGATTTACTGTTTCATTAGATCTGCATCTGATACATAGCCTATATTTGTGCTGTGGGTCTGCCTCCCAATCAAGCGTTAATTTCTCATGCAAAGCTGATGGTAATTGTCTTTTTATACATTGACGCTGAGCACCAGACAGCAGCTCATTGTGGCTGAGGACTTTCATGCTTCAAAGTCCAGTCAAGTGGCTGTTTTGCTTTCCCACCTAGAGTAGTCTGCAATTTGATTGGAGGCTTAGATTTTCTATCCACTTATCTATTCTCTTAGTTTTTAGTAGATCTATCTAGATTTAGTTTATTGAATTAAATAAATTATGAATCTGCATTAAGTTGAAACCTACTGTATATGAGGGCTACCTCAAGGTTAAACAGATTTCAGACTATCAGGTCTTCTCTGCTCTTTGATTGAGATCCAGAGACCAAGGTATAAATGTAGAATTAAGGTATTTTGAGCCAAAAGTTTTATTTTTAATATCTTAACTAAATTAGTGTAAAGCTGTCTCCCAGCTTTCTTCTTTTGGATAGGGAACTATTCGCTTTTACTATGAAGTCGTATATTTGTATATCTGATGCAAATCAAACAAAAAAATCTACCTGTAAATATTTTATATAGCTTTGAATTACAATTATAGCTGGTTTAATAAATGGAGATTAACAGGTGATGCTATCTTTCTTTGTCACATTCCAAAGAAAGTTAAAACTGATTCTTTTTTGCATCTACACTACAAGAATTCAATATGCTATGCATTTAAAAATATTTTACAACTGCTGACTGCTGTAAAATCTCTTTAAGATTTAGAATACAGTTTTAAGAAAAATTAGGCCTTTAAAATAATTCCAAAAAAGCAACATTTCTTATCCCCAGAGAACAACGCATTAGAGGTCATACAATGAAAGGAGAGGTGCAAATGGAAAAGAAACATGGTTAACTTCATAGACAAGAGCATAAAACAATTCCATATTATGGCTTCCTGTCCTACATTCCTAATGCTATCTAGAATGACAATAGTTTTACTGTCAGTAATATCAGTTGTTCTCGCAGCTTTACACGCCATGCATGCAAAAAAAAGAAACCTACCTGTGCTATTTCAATAAATTTGTCCTGAGAATATTGAGGTAGCAGCACTTTGGGAGCATCCTTCACTGCATCCACTTGAAGATAAAGATTCAGCCAGGAGATTACTGTCACTGGGCACAACTCCCACTTAAGAGCCTACATATATTAAAACATGTTTATAGGGCTGTCTATTGCAGTGGTTTAGCTTTCAAATTGTGTGATATCTGCAGCAGATATTGTCCAAGTAAATAAGCTTTCGTTATTTTAGTCTCACAAGGAGCAGAAGAGGTAGCATTCTTTATTATGTCATTGATAAATAAGTTCTTATTTTCATATTTGACAGCATGCTAATTTTTCAATGTGTAGTGTCAGTGGAAGGGATGACCTTTCAAATCAAAGCATTTTACATAGGTCAACTGTACAACACAAAATTCTAGAACAACTGATATCTACATGAGACCTCCAAAGTCTCCAGATTCCCCCTGAAATTTACCACAGATTTAAAATTGAACATGAGACCATGAGAAAATTATTAAATATATGGGGATTTAACTACGGTATGTTAATTAAATGTATATTCAGTTAAAGCACACAATCAACTGGTTCATTCATTTATTTGTCTGAACCTCAGAGACATTTAGGACCATGACTATTTGAGTAGAATTCTACTCAAAAGCTAAGGGCATCTCTCAGCCTGAAAAAAAAAATGGTAATTTCTGTCAAGTCCTACTCCGGAAATAATCCATTAAAGGGATCCCATTCTGAACAAGCCAAATAAACGGTCCTGTGATAAGAGTAATGTGAATAATCTCAAAAGCAAAAGTTGTTCCAGCTTCATATACTCCTTTAATA